GATTTTTGTGTTGCTGCTACCACCAGTGTCAGAGATCAGGAACACTGCTTTATTCAGCTGTCTGAAAGCAAGATTGTAACCCAGTGTTACAGACCAATTTCTCCATTTTATTTGAGAAAATGTCACCTCAAGTAAAGTGAAAAGTTGCACTGACAGTGTGTCCTCTTCTGGAGGTTTGTTGCTTTATTCTTATTGATTCTTATTCATCTTCTTGTTGCCATCTCAGCATTTCTGTATGGGTTGCTTGCTAAATGTTTGCAGCTCCTCTTCTGGTTTTGAAAAGCTCCACCTAGTGCATTGTGCTCTTTTCTGAGGTTGGGCAATGACCTTCCCCAGCCTGATGAATCTCACAAATTTCCAGAATTTATAATTTTAATTGATGTTGGCTCTCACTGCACTTGGGGTAGTTTCAGTGATTTTTAGGTCTGTGAAACTGAGAGCACTCATGGATTTATTTACCTGTTGTTTTATTTTTCCAGAGGGCATCTGCATCCAGTTCTCTGAGCTGTTCAAATTTTTAATTTTGATGTTGTCACCATTATTTTCCTCTTCTCCTGTTACACTTTCCATTTTTCATGCAGATTTCTGTAATACTCACAGTGAGATCAGATAACCAGTTTTTGACTGTTTTGTTTTGCTAATCCTGCTTGGCTTCTGTGACAGTTCTCTTTCAACCAGCACGAATACTGCCCTGCTAACTTGACAAATTAGTTTCCAAGGGTATTCCTTCTCTTAATTCCGTCAAATTAGATCCCAGATCTCTTCATTAGTCCTTTTTGGAAAGCCATCCTCTAACTCAAGAGCACCTGAGGTCCTTTGGTCAGCTCCTGTGCAAAGACCGATGTTGCCCCACACTGCAGCTCACCCAGCAGCTCTGCTGGCAGGGTGGGGTAATTAACAGGGATCAGTCTTTTCCCAATCAGTGCTGTCCTATAACCTCTTCCCTGTATGTTGAGTCCCTGCTGTGGTGATCTTTGCAGTCTTAGGCAGGGAGCAGCTCCTGGTGTGCCATCAGTGGTCCTGGATGCTGTGCTGTGGATTTCCCTCCCAGCTAACACAAGAGTGATGAGTGTCACCTCTCTGGTGTCAAGATGACCCTGAAGTGTTAGAAAGTCTCTTTTCCCAGCCCTGAGACTGAAGAAGAAGTCAGGATTCCTTGGCTCTGGTTCTCAAGGTTGTTTATTTTCTCTAATCTAATACATTGTCTGTCTGACCCGCTGAGGTCTGTCCAGCAGGTTGGGTTCAGGCACACTGACACCCTCAGGACAGTGTTATCTTTTTACACTAAAAACAACATGTACATTATTTACCATAACTTCCCAATACCTACCACCTGTGTTACACAGTCTCTACCCTAAAACAGAAGTGTCACCATCACAGCAGAAGATGGAGGCCAAGAAGAAGAAGGAGAAAGAACATGCCCAGATTCCTCCATCTTGCCTCCTGAACCCCACATTCTAAAAACCCCAAAATTCTACTTTTTCACCCTGTGACAAATTCACTATCATTCTACTCAAACCCTTGTGGCTTGTAACTCCTTGCACCAAGTTGGTAATTGTTTCCATGGGTTAAAATGGAAGGCCCAGGTGTTTTTTACTCTGTGCCAAGGTCTCTGAGCCCCCTCCCAGGGTCTGGAGTCCTCCAGGGCAGCCAGAGGAATGTCCTGGATTCCGACACAAGAGCTGTGTGTTGGCCATCCCCAGGCTGGGATCCCTCCTGCCCCTCACTCACAGGGCACCAGGGCTGGCACAGCATCCTCCAGTGTCAGAACTCAGTGCATCCCTCCGGGTGTCCAGAGCTGATGAGGACCCCACCGGGGGGCTCAGAGACCCTGACATGCAGCCCAGGACACCTGGGGATTTGATTTTGACCCCTGGAGCAAGTTGCCAGCTTTCTATGAGGACCTGAAAGTCACAGAGGTTTGAATGGTGTAATAACAAAATAATCACAGGTGAAAATGTAGATTTTAGGATTTTTGGTATGGGGGTTATGGGGACAAGATGGAGGAACTTGGGCATGTCCAGCCTTTCTTCTTCTTCTTCTTGTTCTCCATTTTCTGCAGTGACGTTGGCACTTTGGGATTGGTCTAGAGTAGAAGTGCACTGTCTAACATAGGTGATGGGTATTGGGAATTAAGTGTAAATATGTTATACGTAGTTTGTTGTATAAAAGGACAACCCCGCCTTGGGGGCGGTCAGAGTGCCTGTGGCTGCCCTGCTGAGCAGACCTCGGCTGAGCAGAAAGAAAATTTTATAGATAAGAATTCATAAACAACCTCAAGACCGAAAAGTGAAGAGTCCAGACTTGTTCTTCAGTTGCGTGGGCCAAAGCAGAGACACCCTGCACATCTCAGGGCAGCAAATCAACAGCCAACCCAAGACTCCAGAACCCATGCCTGGTTTCAGGCATGACACACGGGGGGTGCAGCTGCAGGAAGAGGGGAAGCAGCACTGATTGTGCTGGTTCTCCCCTCCAGGGATCCCTGATGGCTCAGAGGACCCCACTCTCCCTTTGCAGCATCTCCTGACACTCTCTGCCTCCTGGTCTGGTTAAACCCTCACTGATTGACACCCCAGCCTTGCTGTGAGGGGCTGAGCATGCCGGGGTGAGAGCAGGGTGTGCCACAGCCACACAACAAAAACCTCCTCCTGCCTCAGGAGGGTTTTGTTGCCAGGTTGCCAGGCAGCACTTCACTATTTACCTCCACGCCTGACACACGTCCTGGTGTTGCTTCACGCCTCCTGCAGTCCCTCTGGGCAGCTGTGGCAGAAACATCTGGGCACAGCTGGTGGCAGAGCAGGGTCCTGGGGACGGGAGCACCAGAGCAGCGTGGGGTAAGAGGTTGATCCCAGAGCCGGGCTGGTGGTGACAAGGTGGCACAGTGGTGGCCACACCAGACAGAGGGCTTGGAGCTCTTGGCGTTACCAGTCTGGCTGCTGACCCTGCTGGGTGAAGGGCTGGCAGAACAAGGATCCTGCTTCTTCCTTGGAGTGCTCTTTTTGGGGAGAGAGTGGGAAATTGTGGGTCTTTATTGTGGGATTTGAGCGGGAAGTGGGGGAAGTGAAGCAAGGCGCTCTGTGGTGGTCCCTGTGCTCTTCCCACCTGTCCTGCTCTCTCTTCCCCCCTGTCCTGTTCTCTCTTCCCCCCTGTCCTGCTTTCCTCTGGCTCCTCAGGGCTTTGTTCCTCCGATTGTCCCCAGGGAGGATGGCTTGGTGTCCTCCACAGACCTGGTCAGCGGCTGTGCATTGAGCTGTTTTCTATTTCCAGGCTGCTCCTCTTCCTCCCTTCTTCACCTCTCTGCTTCTGCTGCTCACTGCCCTCCAGCTGGACAGGGCAGGAAGAAGCAGCTGGGATTTTGGGAGGTTTTCACTCATCCCTGCAGGTTTTGGTGGTGCTGCTGTGATGGGACATGGGGAAAAAGAATTTTTCAGTGCATTTTAAGGCAGTGTCTTGGTAGGAGTTTTCTGAGGGCTGGAAGGGAGGAGGGCTCAGATAAATGTTTTCATTATTAAGCAGACAGGGACTATGGTGACTAATAAGAAGGTGTAGAACAGATACCTGCTTGTTAGTCATGCAGAAGGAATTCAGATTAATTTCTTGCTGAGGAAAGGAAAGGAGAGGAAGACTGTTAAAGAGCAAATGAAGAAAAAATACCTGATGTGGTAGTGGAAATAGGTTAAAAGGTTATTAAAAACTTTAATTTTCGGCTGTAATTTAGGAGGCTCTTTACATTCCTATGTGTATTTCCACCCATGCAAAAGCTCCCACCTATCAAGTAGTCAGTCTGTAGGCATATGGAAGCAGCAATAATTTGTTTACTTTTCTGCAGTGTGACATCTGCAGATTCTCCATAATAAATCTTTGGAACAATCAAACCTCTCACTGACGTGTGTGAGAAGCCAACTAAGCTGGTGGGGAGACCATGCTCTTGTCATCATAGTGTGCATTTTAAATTCTGTACAGCTTTTCTCTTATTGCTGAGAAATCCTTGTGCTGCAAAAAGTTGGGGGAATTATTTTTTTTCCATGTGGAAGTAAGAAGCCACTCTGGGCTCTGGAGTAGTAATATGGCTTCTGTTCATTCAAACTCTGTGTGTGTGTTTTCATACTTCAGGTAGCATGGTAAACAGAAATAATGTAAAAAATGGATAGAAAAGAGAAAAAGTAAAAAAAAAAAAAAAAAGATAAATTGTGCTGTAAATTTAAATGTTACCTAAGAATATGTTACTGTGGCAGAGATGGCAAATCACAGAATAATAGGATACAGATTTAAGCGCATGCAAAAATACAAAATACACCTTTAAGCAGAGGAGCATGAAGCAGGAATAGAGGAGTAGTGTTACTTCTTTATAAAGTTTTGATGAGACAGCTGGAGTGTTCTCGGCTTTGAAGTTTGATACAGCCACAACAGCAGCACACCGTGGTGGTTTTAGATTGACATCCCTGAAGCCAGGAGAACAGACCATATCCTTTGTGGGGTTCCAAAAAGGTCAGATGATTTATAGGAATACTGAGGAGGACGTGTGCTGCTCATATATTGACTACTCCTTTTTGTCTTGACATATCTGAGTTTGATACTTTAAATGTATTAAATGTTTTCTGTAACAAACCAGTAAATCCTAAGGCACAATTTTTGTTTAAAAAATTAAAAAAGAAGTGTGGATGAATCCTGCAAAATAAGTATATGAGCTTCAGTGTGAGAACAGGATTTGAATTTGTCTGGGTACTTACTGGAAAATTTGCTGTCATGCATGTCAGAGGAGAAAATATAATGTTTAAAGAAGGTCTGTGGGCATCAGCAAACTGTTAAAGTTCTACATGGATGTATTGTAGAAATACAGGCCAGGCAAAAGATCTCAAATAATAACTCTAATTTCCAGAAATAATTTATTCTTAATTTTCATCTGGATACCAAGTGAATTCAGACTCTTTATGCTCGCTTGATACAAGTATTTATTACAAAAGTAAAGTTTGTTTTTGTTTGGTTTTTTTTTCTCTTAGAAGCAGTCTCCTTCTGCAGATGCACCAAAACCACAAATTATGAAGCCATCTGAAACTAGGGTAAGAATTGCAGGAGGAAATCATGCTTGCATGGCTTATGAATGAAGCCATGGAATTTAATTTTTAACATATGGGTCTATTTATTCTTCAGCATCACCAAACATAAATTTATGCCATGGAATGGTTTCATATGGAATTTGATTTTTAACACTTTGATACTGAGTAACTTTACCCATATTTCTTATCGTAGCTTAGTTTCCTCTGCCAAAAAAAAAAAAAAAATCTAAGAAAAGTGCTATTCAAAGCAACCAGAGGTTTTTACAACAGCAATAAAAAGAAAATTAATTGCGACGTCAAATTTTAGCCCTGTCAGTTTTGTGACATGTGTATAGCTCCCCCCAGTGTAACTGCAGGGTCATTTACCTGCTGATGATTTTTCACATACTCAACCAAGCCAGGATGAGCCTCAGCTCTCTCTGTACGTTCAGTTGCATCTTCTCATTAATCTCCTGTGCTTCTCTGTCTGACAGCTCCCCTGCCTTTGCCCTTCACGCTTGTTCTGTCTTGTTTTATGGCTGGGGCTTCCTCAGTGTCAGGGCTGTGTCATCAGTCCTGTCCTTTGCTCGTCAGGAGAGAGTCATTGTCCTCACGTTGCCTAACAGGAGTTACCTGTGCTGTTCAAACAAATGATTAATGCTTCTCCCCACCACCTCTTCCATTTTCCACAGCCATAACAGCAGAACCAACAAAAGCTGGATTCCAGACCAGGCCAGCAGGGACTTGTGTGGTGGAAAAGGCTCAGGCTGCCTGAACCTTGTGTAAATGCCAGAAAGGGGGTGCGTGGAGGGATGAGGGTGGGAAGGGTCCCTGTGGGTGCTCTGGTGGAGGCAGAGCCAGCTCTGCAGGTAAATGGCCTTGCTGGAGGCCCTGCCAGGGCACCTTTTGGGCACCTACAGCATGTTGGCGCAGTCAGAGCTGAGGTCTGGTTACCTTCAGAGAGATATTTTTTTTTCCATTTGTCAAATGAGAAGTTTCTTTGTGATAACCTTTTCCTCTTGTTCATTCTGGCCTGCACCCCCATCTCTGCATTAGCCATTACATTCCACTGAGCCTTTTAAAACCCTTTTCCTCCATGCACACGTACATCTAAGAGCTGAATGGCAATTAGACAAATTTTCCATTTGTGCACCATCATCATTACTCACAAATGGAGGCATCTGCCAGCATCTGGTTTCTCCTCCCTGTTGTGTTTGTGGGCAAACTCATTTGTGTCGTGTTCATTACTGCTGTGGTTCTCCATATGGTCTAACCCAGACAGCTATGGTCTTTCCCTACTTGAAATTTAAAACAACTCTCAGAAGAATGTGGTAAATGAGCCAAAAATAGAGTAGCAGAGGCATGCTTCAGCACTGTAAGGTTGGTAAACACAAATCCCTTTGAAACAGTGGCCTGGATTTGCATGTGCAACATAATTAATGTTTTCTCTTAATGTCTGTTGCATTATTAATGTCTTTCTCCTGCTGGATTAAACAAGTTATTTGCATTTTTGACAGTAGACTTCTTTCAAAAGAAATAAGGTTGCTGAGTCACTTCAATTTCTAGTCCTAAATTTCTTGCAAATTAACAGATCTTTCCCAGTTGCCTGCTATAACCACATCTTATTTGTCCTTCCTGTAGTCTCTCCAGTGTGTCACTGCTCTTACACATGCTCTGGACCCCTCCTTAACTTTCAGTTCTCTCTGTGTGTGTATCCAATGAACCCTCAGAGTTGTGCCCTCTCTGAGCAAGCTCTGAGTTCACTGTGGCAGAGGAAGGAATGTAGAATTTCTCGTTCTGTGGGCAAAGCCTGGGGTTAGGTGGACATTTTGGAGGACCAGGGTGTAGAGCCAGCACCTGTGGATTTGGCAGGGTTGGAGCAAACAGGGTGCTGCCTCTGCCACTGCCACAAACACGTCCCCTTCAGCTGCCTTCCTTTTGCACACATTTGTGCGACTGCACTGTGAACCAGTGAAAAAATTGTTGTTTTTCATTTCCAGACCATTTCAGTCGGTTTGAAATGCATCCTGTTGGATCCCGGCACAGTGCAGGTGGAAGCAGGCAGTTGAAGGGGAAGTGGAACATCTTTTTCTCCTCAGAAATTCAGTGCACACCATCAGCTGATGCCATGGCTTCAGTCTGTGGCTGCTCACAGCTGACTCTGTTTAAAGGATGGCTGAACAATTCCTCTGAATGGATAGTCTCATACTAAAATTGTTGGTTTGATTACCTGTTTTTTAGTCTGATTTTTTTTAAAGTTATACTTGAACTTTGTAATTGCTAAAAGTATATCTAAATTGATACGCCTCTGTGTGTGAGCAGGTGTTTATAATAATGTGTTTTATTGTGGCCTCAGTTTTTGTGTGCAAGTCTTGAATCAAATCCTTGCCCATATGGGTCTGTTTATTCTTTAGCATCACCAAACATAAATTTATAGCATGGTCAATTCTGCATATTTTAAATTTATTACAAAAGGACAGTGAATGATGCATACCTCACACAGAACGTGCATAAAGTATTCAGTAAAGTAATATTTACAGTAGAAAAAAGAAGACTTACAGTTGTTCAAAACTGGTTTGGCAAGTTGAGATTTTGTATTCAATGTTCTGTACAGGTGTTGTTGGGTGTGGGCAGAAGTGCAAGTACATGTGTTTTATGGTCCTGCAAAAATAAGGTGTGTTTCGTTTTCTTCTGAAAGGCAGATAAGAAAAACCTGAATTTGTACTCTGAAAGCAGGGTGCTTAGAATCCTGAGCAAGCAGTAGTCCCAGAGCAAGAAGAGTCAAACTCTGTATTTTTTATACCTCATCTTTGCACTTCTGTTACATTTTTTGCATCTTGCTGCTGAAGGACACCTCATGTCTGATTGACTCTTTGCTATAGATGTTACAGAAACACACCCAACCTTAATTTATCTTGTAAACTAGGAAAATTTTGGATTATCCTTTCATTACAGGATTATTTCATGTACAGGTACAAACATGGATGTGTGTCTTTGAGTTAGCAGTTGTCATTAACAAGGACACACAAATGGGAGCACATAAAGCATGACTGAACCTGAGAGTTGCTGTGCTTTAATCCGGTTTTAGGCATCGAGACAAAATATAAAGCAGGGAATTTGGGGAGAAGGTGGGGATCTGTGACCTTATGTGAATCATTTACCTTTAATATCTTTTTCTCACCTTGAGAATTTTTGCTTCTCCCTCTCCATCAATGTTTCCCTTTTTCTGTGTGGAGGTGTGTCCCTCAAAGCTTCAGGACCTTTGCCAGGATTATGCACAGGCATCTGCATTTAATGTGTGCTCAGGGTTTCCCAGCCAAGTGTCTGCAGTTCAGTGTGGGGGTGTGAACACTTGCGTAACAAAATGTAAACAAACTTAGCAAATTTCTCTGTGTGGTCAGCCAGAAAACGGAAGCTGGGTGATTCTAAGTGGTGATGAATGTTTGGCAGATGAAAGGCTCTTTCTGTCTTGCTCACAGTGCAGCTGAAGCAGCAGGAAAAAAATAGGGAGAAAAATACGGTGAGGAGGCTGGGTTTCTCTCTTCTCAACAGACATAACAATTCTGTAATTTTTCTTTTTCACATCTTACTGTTGTAATTTATTGCTTGCTGTACTTTGACTGGATGAGTCACAGGAATTGGTTTTGTGGCATGGCTGCAGAAGGTTTTCAGGTGTAAACCCTGGAAGTGCAGTCATGTAATATTATCCTAGCCAGGTTGTCCAGCTCTGTTGTAAAATTAGGAGGTTACAGAGGAAAGAACAGATACAAAATTTCTGCTGTGTAGTATAAGGATATTAACTGAACATATCCCACCCTGTGTATGTGCTGTTGAATCTAAGTAATTAATGTCTTTTCCATTAAGTCTACATGTATTTTTATAACTACTTACTTTGCAATTATAATTATTTTATTGATAAATTAGTGAAAAATAATCCATTTAATCCATATAATCCAAATAATATTTGAGTCTATTTCAGAAATTGCTATTGGCAATTTGGGTTTGGTATCAAACTGGTTATTATATTTTAACATCTTTCCCTGTCTGAGGAATGAGTGTGTTTGTGTGTGGATGTTTGCACACATTCGAGTGCTCTTAAATCACTGGCAGCCTCTGTTAGGATGTTGTGAAATGCAAGATTAGTGCGTAGTAGTTAGACAGCATGTGTGCTGACAAGTGTGAACCTGTCTGATCTTCTCCTTTACATAATGTGTTCCTCTGCAAATAAACATGCATATTAATCTCTGCATAAATGTTGTTTATATTTCAGTCCGCACCGACAACCCAAGCAGGAGCTGAAAAAACCACCCAGTCAGACAAGGTAAATACCTGCCTTTCACCTTTGCAGAGCTGCTGCACTTTGCTCTTTTACTAACGTTGAAAAACGAGGCTGAACTCTTGGCTGTTTCTGTGTCACATAAAACTGGTGTGTGACCAGTGACATATCTGTGCATAAACTTCAGAACAGCCCAAGAAGTGTCCTCTTAACCATCTTTAGATCTGTCTTGTGCTTGTTTGGACTACCAGGGATCATGTTCTCTAGCACTGAGTGGTGGAAATGGTAAATTATCTCAATACTTTATTTTATGACAGCCAACAGACTCTCCAAATAAGCAGCTGTCTGAAGAGAAGCAAAAGGAACCCAATGATGTAAGTTGTATAATTTCTACCTCCCTCCCTCTCTCTCTCTGTATCTCTATCTCTCTCTGAATTTTTTAATGAGGGTTTCTTCTGGCATTTTACTTTACTTTTAAAAAGGGTTTCTTCTGGTACTTTACTTCTGTCTTTCATTTAAAAAAAAAATCATTTGAAAAAAACAAAAAGCCAGTTCTCCGTATCTAGTGATAATAGTTTATCTCTACACAGGGAAAAAACCAAACCACACCTACTGTGTCAACAACTTCTAAACCAAATAACACAGGAAAAGTAATTACAACTCAGGCTGGCCAGCCTCCAGCAGCAACCTCTGCAGAGACAGCAAAGGTATTGTACAAGCACAACCAGATTTTATTATCTAAGCTAATTTTTATTATTTTATTGAGGGAGTGTTAGGAATCCACATCACTGTGGATTTTTTAGCTGAGTATTGTCAAGTGAGACTTTTGGGCCCCCAAAAATCACAGTGTAGTTAAGCTTTTGGCCAAGGAAATAACAGTAAAAACATCACAGTTTTAGGCATTTTTCTGTGTGTTTGGGGCTCTTCTGTTTTTCTCTCAGTTTTTTGGGTATTTTTTAAGTTCCTTGTAGCTTCACAGCCGTCCTTGGTTCTTTGTCAGGCTCTTCCCTTGCTCTCTCACTGCAGTGTTCTCTGCAAATGTAGCAGGTCAGCCCTGAATGCAAGGCTCTGAAAAAAATTAAAGTGATGAAAGCTGGGGAAAAAAGCTGGGGAAGGGAAATTTCCATAGGGTAAATGAAGAGAAAATGTGAAGGAAAAGCATGTGGTGGCATCAGGATGTGGCTGTTTTGGTCTGCTGGTGTGTACGTGTCTGGTGACATGGGGTAACACAAAGGGCTCCTGCAGCTCTGCTCCAACACCCATATTTTTGGCAGTAAATGGCAGTGTCAGTAATGCAGAAATCTGCATTTTGTGTGGTTGTGTTGCCCCTCCACCTCCTGCCTGCAGCATTTTCACCCCACCTGCTTGAGCACCTTTTGCTGCTGGGGTTTAACGGTGCCTTGAGAGCTACATGAAGTAAATGACAGTTTTCCAAACAGACTTGGAAAGGGCCTCAAAGTCTTTCCTGCCCTGAAGATTTCTTTCACTGGCAGAATAAAAGAAGGAGGTAGAGTGCTTAAAATAGAAAGCTTTCTTTCCCACAGCAGAATCTCACTGGAAACAGAGCTTTGATGGTGGTAGCTCACTCTGCCCAAGCATCTAGGTGCTGTGCATTAGAGCCAGCCAGTTCCTGAGTCAGAAACACTGTGCACAGCCTCAGCATTGGATGTTTTATTCTGTTTTGTCTCTCTTTTGACACTGTTATAAGCTATCTCTTAATTTTTCTCTTTTTCTTCTCCAGCAAAAGTCTGAGGAGATGTCCACAGTGACTGGTGCAGCTGCTGGGACAGGCACAGCTGGTGCAAGTGTGGTTCCTGCTGCTGACAAATCAAGTACTGAGGTTGGTAAACACAGCCCCAGACAAAGGGTTCCCCTGTAGTAATGTCTCAGAGGGTGCTTCTCTCTCTGAAATACTTCAGTTTTGGGAAAAAAAATGAATGGGTAACTGCTGAAGTACTGATACGTCCTCAGTTTATGTATAATGGTGGAGAGCCATCTGCAGGAAGAGGTGAAAAACAACTGGTGTGTCATTTGTGTTTAGTTAAATAGGACTTCTTTAGAAACTAGCTTAAAATTATACAAGCTTAAACTCATTTACTCCCTGTCTTTGGTTATATTTGAATATATTATGTGTATCCACCGATACACAAAAAAATTATAAATTAAATAAATAAATAAAACACCTTGTTAATGATGCTGGAGAATTGAGTTTAGAACCATTCTCACTGAAAAATTTGGCAAGTACACATCCTGCTGAAAGAAAGCTTTTAGGTTTGTTTCTAGGAGTACTCTGCAGATTCACCAGATGCTTCAGGTGTTTTTTTTCCCCTGTGTACACCTTTGTAATCTCTGTAATGGTTTGCTTATTTTTTTAGCCTGCTATGGATGAGTCAGCACTTGATAGCCTAATAGATACCCTTGGTGGACCTGAGGAAGATGTGCCTACTACTCCTGTTTACACTGGCCCAGAAATTACGGTATTTTACACTTCACATTTTTATTTCTTACAAGATTCATCCCTAAATTACATCTGTAGTTGCTCATTACTGCGTTGATCCAGGACTTGTACCTGTGATCTGTGACGAGTTAAAACTGAGTGTGCAGTTACATATTAATGTTGGTTTTGTTAATATAGAAATGACAGAGTTTTGGGAATTTGTTGAAGAATGCATAACTTTCTGAGTCTGAATGGGAGAATCATGTAAGAAGGATTAGATTACAAGCTTAGTGGCTCAGTAAAACATGACAAAAATTTTGGAATACATAAATTTTAAAAAGCAATCTAGGTTCAGCAATACATTCTATGGTCTGAGACTCTGAAATAGCTTAAATTAGGAATCTGGGAATGTTCTGCTGGATGATGAGCTCTGTTGAAGCAGGTCAGGAGGCATGTGCATGACAGTAGGTACTGAAAGACACTATAGAGTGTCCCAGTCAATATTTGCATTTTCATTTTGGTGGTATCACTGCAGGTGGCTCTATCAGAAATTTATTTCTGATAAAGAGCAGTACACAAACTTTAATGTGGGAATTATTTTCACAGGAAGATATATATTCAAGATATTTGGAAGAATTGGGCAAACGGGAAGGTAGTCTCCCTCCAGAGTATGTTAAACTGTTGAAGGTGAGTTAAAAATTAATACATTCCTCATGTGTTTCTGTAATATTGGATATTTCTGCTTCCCACTTACTACAAAATTAATTCTCACTTTAGAGCAAAGGATATGGCAAAGACGTGGTCCCACCAAAACCGAATGAGCAAGATGAAGTAAGACTTTTTTTTTTAATATACTGGAAGGTGAAAGTAATCCAGGTGAAAATAATTTAGTTATCATTGAATTCCTAGGAAAATATAAATGTTGCCTCTTCCCCAAAAGTCCCAGACAACGGGAGGTGGATATAGGGTGCCAAATAACCTAGCTACTGACAAAAATAAATAGAGCTTGGCATGGATGTTTTTAATAAATCTGTAGGAATTTTCACAATGCTGAAGCTGAGATGACTCAAATAAATATTTACAGAAATATTCGGCACACAAATAACAAAGGGGAGAAATACTGTGCAAGCAGGAGTCTCTCTGTAATGCCTTCAGCAAAGACTACTTGTATTTCTACACTTGGCCAGAGATTTCTGTCAGCCAGCATAATTTTGCTGGTTGGGAAGTTTGACTTAGTAAAAATAAAAGTTTATCTGAGACATGAATCAAACAGTGGGGGCAAGCACCTTTATTTTCTGTTGTGTCAGGAACTTGTGCCAGTGAGGTCGCTGTGTGAATAATTGTAGGACACACTCGGGCTGTAAACTGAGCTTGAGCCGTGATGATATTTGAAGTTTCTCATGCTCATAACTTGGTTTGCAATTCCTTGCTCAGAAGCCAATGACGGATGATGAGCTTGCAGAAGCCCTGTCATCTGACTTCACCTGCAGTGCTGATTCTGCTCAGGAGAAGAAGACAAGTCTGACAGAGGTACTGACACTTTCCTTGCCACTGCATGCATTTATTGTGTGGGAAAACTGACACTGTTATCATAATATTTCATTTTAAAGTAGGTAAAATTTCCTGCTTCTTTTCTATATTTGCAAATTTGCCTGTAATTTGATCTCGCTCGCAGAAACCAAATAAAGAAGGAGAAATTGTGCAAGCACAAGCAGCAAGTTCAGTTAAGACCTCAGCTCCTCCTAAGGAGAAGAAAACAAAATCAAAAGAGGTACGCACAATCCTCCTTTCACTGGTTACCTTATAATTAAAATTGACAGGCATATGCTATTGTCATGTGTTTTTGTTCTCATAAAGATGCTCATCATTCTCATTTTCAATTGTAAATCCTCTTTATTATAGAAAATATAGGAATTACAAGAAATGCCATTGCCCAGATTCCATTGTGCCTTAAAGATCATTGGTGTATCAGATGATTTTCCTTCTGGATTCTGAGGAATAACTGTGGTTCTTCTCCCTAGAGGAAGTAGAGTAGAAACATTTGTAGGAAAACTTTCTTAGCTCTGTGATCTGTGTTTAAAACTTGGATATGATGTAACTTTCTCACGGTTTATGAACTTTCTGTTTTTTCCCTCTGAATAGAGCAAGTGTGACCTTACACTTTTTCAGTTTGCCAAGTCAAAGAACATAAGAGTTGTGTTAGATAACATTGTGGCACTGTGGTTTCTGAGGGGGTTTTTGAATTTCTTTTTTTTTCATTCTCTCCTTAAGAAAAGCCTCATATCTAACTAAAGCTGTGCTAATTCTGTCACATTATTTGGTGTTAAGTAAATTGGATAAAGCCAAACCAAAATGACCAATCTGACGCTGGCTGTTTTCTTTGTATACAATATAAAAATACTTGAGGTAAAAACCCATGCCAGTTTAAAGAATTTACAAAGTGGTTTGCACATTTTCTTAAAATACAGGAAATGAAAGATGATGCAATGGATGCTCTTCTTGATACTCTTGGAGGACCTGAACCTGAACCTGAAGAAGATCCTACCCCTATTGTAGAGGTGTCAGAGGTAACACCTCACTCATTTTTTACCCTGGCTTCCAGGCTCTGGCTATGGAATCCTGAGTTTCTTTGTTAGACACTGGAAAAATGTGTAAAATAACAAGAAAGTTGTACCCAGGGACTCCACAGAAAGTGATTTTGATATCAAAGGCCGAAGGAATGTGTGAGCCTTCAGTGATTAAGAAAATGTAAAACATTCAGAATCCCAAGTGGGGACAGGTGGAGTTGAACATGTAAGGTGGTCTGGAAAATGATGAGCATGCAGTTTGCTTGTACATGCAAACATACATATATGCATATAAACATTCACAGGTAGATACAGCTCTGTTTTAGTTTTTTTTCCCCCCCAGCACTCTATAAAATTTATAGCAAGCTTTCATTTTGCACATATTTGCTGTTTGATTTTGACTTCCAGTGTGTGTGCTCCTTTTTCATCAAACTCCATTATCTTTCTAATTTGAGTCTTGCCTTCACTGTCTTTTGAGAGTTTTGTTTTTCCCCAACAGATAGAATTTAAACAGTTACCCTGTGTTTGCATGTTAAGCTTTAACTTTTTGGTTTAATTTTGCAAACTCTATCTGTAACGATATTTAGAGCAGTTTTTTTCCTGTCTTCACTTATAGCTCAGGCCAAGCAAACAATGGGGAAATAGTAAAAAATCTTCTGTTGCTGAGCTAAATTTTGACTAAAAAAGAGCTTCTTGTGTTGCACATTTAGTCAGTCTGGGCCTTCAGATAACGTAGCAGATGACTTCTTCATTAATGAGGCCCAGAGAATTAAAAACTTTGTTTTGGTGCCAGTGATGGAAAAAGACACAGAATTATGGGTTCTGTAATCAGAGTGCTGAAGTGCAAGAAATCCTGACCATTTTGTACACAGAAAAATTCTAAAAGTGCCTGCCACAAAGAGCTCTGAATGCTGTCTAGATTTTTTTAGGATTGAAAATAATTTAGCCATATTTATATATGGTGTTGAATCTTAAACCATTATGATATTACTACAGACATTTGACAGGAATAAATTGAGGGATTTTAGTATCTTGCTAAACAGAATCATTTCATCTGAGGCCAGTACACAGTAGGCAGAAGAATCCTGATAGTGGAGTTTTGTAAAGGGAGCTTTTATTTTAATTTCTTTCAGTGGTTTTGGTTTTTTAATGTTGTTTCTTTTCAAGGCAAAAGCCAAAGAGAAAAAGGAACAAAAGGCTGGAGAACGTGATGATACAATACCTCCAGAGTACAGGTTAACACCAGAGTTGGTAAGTTTTTCATATCTCCATTGCTTTGCAGGCAGGGCGCTCTGCCTGACATTTTCTTTCATTACAGAGAGGGAGAGAACATGGGGAAAACAAACGAAACTAGTATTTAATCAATGGCTTTCTCCTTGGTGATTCCTGTACTTCTTATTTCCTCATCTGCCTTTGTGGGTATCACTGTTTTTTCCAGGCACTCTGGGCAAAGATCTCATCTTATCCATGAGATGAATGAGTCATCTCAAATGGCAAAGTCACTCATTCCTTCTCCAAGAGTGATGTTTTGTGTTTCTGACATTAAATCTCAGTCTTGTAAAATCCATCTTTTTGCAGGAGTGCTCTTTGGTATCACTTTGTAATGTAACCTTAAAGCACTGATGTAAAATAGTGGGAAATTATTTGGAACCGATAGGAAAACTGCTTTTTTTTTTTTTTTGATTGTCACCCAAAGTGATGGAGATTGAGTCAAAGTCAACCAAAACAACAGCAGAACACTTTTTGGTCTCTTGTAATGTGCTGACATCCCATTTGCTTTTTTTGATCTACATATCTGGCCATGTAAAAAATTCCCCAGTTACGGGAATTCCTGTCACTGATTAATTCTTGAGTATGTGATTTACTTTACCTTATTTTGCTGGTGATGATGGAGTAAGGTATGTCTTGTAACAAGGGAAAAATGTCAATAATATTTAATTTCCTTCTAGGATAAAGATGGAAAACCAATATTGCCGAAGCCTGAAGAAAAACCAAAGGTTAGAAAACTGACAATATTGTAGGAGTGTGGCTAGATATCCTGTTTTCTCCCTCTCTGTCATCACTTCTCTCTGTACCATGATGTAAGTCTCTTGGTCTGCTTGTGTGTTTTACTTCCTTGCACAAAACCTGCTGGTCAGAAGCATCAGCTGGAAGTTGATTTTACTGGAATTCACTTGTCTGTGAGTGAAGAGCTCATGCAAGGAAAAGAATTAGCAAGTTCAGGACAGGAGAGATTTACAAAAATTATTGCTGACTCAAAAAAAGGCTGTGTGAGGAGTTAGCATAAAGTATTCTATAGAGGTCTGTTGGAGCTGCTAAGGATAGAGAGAGGTGAAGCAGGAAAATCTTTTATTTTCTTGACAGTTTCCTCTTGCTAGTGATCAAATATAAGGGAATAAAGGAATATTCCTTTATATAAAGGAATATTTCCTCCTGGAAAGAAGGAAAAAAAGCTGCTGTGGACATTTTCCTAATCACAAAGAACAACCTGGACTTTGTAAAGAGTATCCATCAGGGCCTAGAAAGTGCAAGAGAGGATTAAAATACTGAAAGAGACAGCTGTAAATACTAGTTTTAAAGGCACAGAAAGAAAGCAAAAGAAGTGTGCACTGAAGAAACTGAGGGCTCCACTTTGTGAGCGCAGGAGTGCTGCCAAAATTTGGAAAAGCAAAGGAAATCTCTGCTCTCCTGAAACGAGTGTGAGGGTCAGGACCAGTTTGTGTGCCTTTTGGGCAGAAATCTGAAGTTCGGGGTTAAAGTGGGGGCAAAGCGCTGGAAAAAAAAGACTTTTGGTCTCTAAAAGTTGTTATTTCTGGTCTCAGACATGCTGATTGTCGTGAGTGGTGGATGTTTGAGAGCTGGACAGAAGGGAACTCCTGCCAGGCCTGTCATGAGGAGGAAAAGGGAGCAGCTCTGCTGTGGGGGGAACTAGGCCCTGCTGCCAGGGATCACCACTAATATTGAGATCAGCAAAACCAAAATCAGCAAAATTCCAAAAGCTGTGTTGACAGCTGTGTTAAAAGCTGTGCTAATAGCTGGGAACCATCAGCCACTTGCTGTTCTTCCACGATTTCTGGTGAAGGCAAAGTCCTTCCTTCAGGAGTTCAGCTGGTGTTTGTCTTTTTTTGGGCCTCCACTCTGTGTAGCCTTAAGCAGTGACATTACTCTTAGTGAATAAAATTTACGGCCTAAATGCCTTTTCTTATTCAGTGTCTGAGGGAGGATTTCAGGCAATATGAAAAGTGGGGCCTTATGTGTTTATGTGGGGCCTTATGTCTTTATCAAGTGGGGCCTTATGTCTTTGTCAGGTGTCTCACACTTTATCAAGTGTGAGACACGTGATAAAGAATTAGGGAACGGGAATGAGGGAGGGATTTCTCTCTCAGAAATATCACTTTATGCATTATGAGTCTGTCCCTAAGCTGTTAAGTTCCATGCAGCAGGTGAATGGCCATCGCTGCTAGCAAAGATTTAAACATTTAGCTTTGAACAGTAATTTGGAGGATCCCAGGGACTTTAGGCTTATGGATGTAGGGATATATGGATTGCAGAGGCCTAGTTCACATAGCTTCATTAGATTGTAATATATCACAAACAGCAGGAAACTAAAACCGAATTTTTATTCACCAAAACACATACAGTGAAAACCACTGAGTTTCAGCAGTCAGTGGTCCGGCTAAAGGAACTTTTAGGGAATTCTAGTTCTGCTAATAAATATTAGCTTTTTCTTCCTAATTAAGAGGTTGTGTTTTCCTTTCCAGTAGCCTTGTCTTGAACATTATATATCTGGTTCTCTATATTATGTTTTGTATTTTATATGTATTATAGAGAATTATATGTACAATTCTCTACATTATATTGGCTTATGGTAACAAAGAAACTTATTCTGAAGTGTGTTTTTCTTAATTTTATGCACTGCAAAATTAATTCTCTTTTGTTGCCCATAATTGTGAAAGGTTATTTCAGTCTAAACTACAGATGTTTTCCTGCTTTATGGGTAGCTGTAATACAGTTCTTGAAAAAGAGGCAGTGAGTCACCTGTGTCATGCTTTTTTGTTTGTTTTTTGGATTTTTTTCGCAGCCTATGAGTGAATCTGATCTTGTTGATGAATTTTCAAAGGATTTTGCCTGCCCTGCACAGCCTGCAGTACAACCCAAAGCACCAAAGCCCAGCAACACATCCAAAGTAAGTCCTTCTGGTTCACTGGAGAAGCTGACACTGACAGTTTTGCTAAGATTGGGTATTGGTTGTGTTCTTTTAAAAAAACCAATTTTCTTCTCTTCCTACCTTACCCTTCCCATTGCCTTTAGTGGAACATAAATATTGGCACTCAGCTCTTCATTAAGCATCTTCAGCCTATAAATTTAGACTTTTCTTTCTCATTTAGTACTGTATTTAGAAAAAAATAAGCCATTTAACTGGCACGTTTTATGTTTTCTAAGCATATTCACTAATACAGTGTAAATTGTTCTGTTTCAGAAGCAGTCAGGTTCTGTTTCTGCAAAAGCTGCTGAGGATAAGGTGGTCCCCCGTGCCACAGCTTGCACTGTGCAGTCTGCAGCTCCTGTGTCTTCAGTAAGTAGTGGAGCCCCTTCAGCTGGAGCTGAAGCAAAACTCAGTGTTTCATTTATGGAATGGTAGAGCATACTACCTAAATGCCTTTTCTTATTTAGTGTCTGAAGGAGGATTTCAGGCAATTTGAAAAGTGGAGCCTTATATGTTTATATGGGGCCTTATGTATTTATCAACTGTGAGACACTTGATAAAGTTGTCAGGATGCTCATTTCAGTATTGCATGTTCTTCCTCCGTTGTGGTAACCCACAAAGGCTGAGTGGTTTACAAAAACAACAAAAAAAAAAAAAAAACCCCAAAAAATACAAGTTAGCACAAACTGAATGGTCAGTGACCTTCCCCAGAGAGGAAGCCAAACTGATAGTTCTGTGGTGTCCTGTGCTCTTACTGCCCTAAAGGGGATGCTGTTTGTGAACCTAGTAGGGACTGCAGAAGACAAAACCAGGTTTCTTCAAACTAAAAATTGTTTTTTCCTGCGCAGGTTGGTCCTGTGTCAGATGAAGCACTGGAAGCCTTGTCCAGTAGCCTGGGAAAGAGAGAGCCTGATCCAGATGAGAAAAAGCCTGTTGTGGACAAAGTTAAGGTAGAGAAAAAAATCAGACCTCAAAAAATAGACTGTTGATGTAATTACCTTCAGCACTACTCCATTTCCTCAGGTCATAAACAAAGTAGACATTACATTTTCATTTTTTTTACAAACAAAATGTACTGTTGAAAGCAGTTCTGTTCTGCTTAGAAAGTACTCGTAGGATTTCAGGACTATGAGTACACTTTCCTGATAATTCTGACTATTTCAGTGCAGTAGTTCCCTCAGTTTCTGAAAACTGTATTTTGTTGTGTCCTGCTGAACTGAAGCAGGATTAAGATGCACATCAGGGGTAGCACACAGTATGGTCCTTTTTCTGAAGGAAACAACTTTATGATGTGGGGTTTAAATTAGGAATTATGCACAAAACTTTTGAGGTTTATATATTTAAATGGGGAGCCATAAGTAAATCACTGAAATCCTGTCCAAGGGAATACTGTTCATAGGCACAGTCTGAGTGCCCCCATGTGCCACCCTAAACCAGAGGAATTGGCTGGAATCAGAAACAGCCCAGCTGGAATTCTGTTGAGCAGAAGTTCCTAAAGTTGGTTTTAGTCTTTTCTCTTAGTTGGCATTTTCCCAGCATAACTTGTATGGGGATAATAATTTTTGAAGTGGGCCACTGATTTCTCTCTTCGGCCTTCCTTAGCATGCAGCCCAACAGCTGTTGAGTGAACTTGCAAAAATGTCAAGAATTAAGACGCAAAGGTATTTTTTATTTTGGTTGACCCTTGCCTATTCACTTATCTCTGCTAGCTTCACTGAAATAGGTAACGCTACTTTTAATACACAGAGGAAGAAACAGGCAGGGGAATGAGCAAATGCTTTCTTTTAACTTTTGTGAGATTTGTATGTGGCGATTGGATTGAATGAGAAAGACCAATTAGAATCAGAGGACTGAAGGCTGGAAGCTTACTCGTGTGAATTTTTATGCGTAGTTATTTATTTTACTGTGATTCCTCTTTTTCCTTCACAGGAGAAAAGCAAAAAGAAACAACATAAAAAACTGGGTGAAGAAGAAGAAACAATTCCTCCAGAGTACAGATTAACAGAAGCCAAAGTAATTTATTTAATGTGCTTATTCTTACTTTCATTCCTCAGAACGTGTGGGGGAAACTGAGACTCCCATTTCATTTTGAAACGCTGATGTTTTGGTTGAGCCATTTTTATAATATCTAGAAATTCTGGTTTGTAGTTCCCACAAATATCTGTCATCTATCGTTGGATGCCTGCATGGGCATAGAAGTGGTTTAGATGCAGGTACCTGCAGATTAATAATCCTGAGATTAGTCCACTGGAGTTTTTTTGTAGCTTCTGGTACTTTAGAAATAATTAAATTATTTAGAAATAATTAAATTATGATTGGTTATAGCTGTCAAGAAAAGCCCAAGGACCTGGATGTTTTAAGTGGCATTTTGAGTAGCAGCAGTAGATGCCAGAGAGGCTGCTGGTTGTGTCCCTGTGCCCTGTAACACTTTCCGTTGCTCAGAGAATGCTCCCAGGATGCTTGAATTGCATGGCTGTTTAAGAGTTAATGCAAGGGATTTTTTTTCTTTATAGGATAAAGATGGAAAACCACTCCTACCAAAACCAGAAGAGAAGTCACAGGTAAAAAAAGTGATGATTTCTTAACTGAAACTGTTTCATTCCTGACTTACTTACCAAATGTGAACAGAGTTACCCAGTGCTCAGTTTAAAAATGTTACCTGCTTACTTTTTAAGAGATAAAGAGACTTATAATCTTCTTTTTCTTTCCAATGGCAGCCTATGAGTGAAAATGACCTTTTAGAGGGTTTGACAGAAGGATTCTCCTGTTCTCCCTCACCACCTGCACCATTACCTACATCGACTGTACTAAAGGTAAGTATGTTAGATTTCTGAAATCTGGTTTTATTTTCAAGTTGTTTGAATAATCATGACATTTTCTATGTTTTCTTCATATAAAGTTCCTTAAATGAAACCAAATAACTAAAACTTTAAAATACTTCTTGTAGTAAGTTAATAAAAGAGCAGGACTTTAAAAAACAAACAAACTAAAAACTAGTTACGTGACATATTTTTTTACCAGTTGCTTGCATGAGTACTGCTTTCCAGCTCAGGATTTTAAAACTGTTTTTTGGGAATATTAGATGGTTTGGTGAAATCTTAGTTCTTTTGGAGTCATGTTAAATCTGTTTAAACTTCAGCTGTGGTGAGGTTTAACCCAGTGGTTGAGATGGAGGAACAAAGTGAGATGAGGAACAGTTGCACAGTGTGGGGGGTGTGTTTCAATCTGAAATAAGCAAAGCTCCTCGAGAAAATGAAATCCTAGAAATCATCTGTGTGGGTGCTGTGTTTTGGATGGTTTCTTTCTTTGGGTCTAATGAGTATTTTTCTCTGGTTTCCTTGTGTGCCTTGTTCTTCCAGAAATCCAAGGGTGGTGCCAAGCCTGCGGGTTCCTCGGATGTGATCTCTGCTGCTACGGTTTCCTCAGTGCACTCAGCAGCCCCTGCACCTTCTGCCACTGTAAGAAACCTCTCCTGTAGGTTCTTACCCCAAAACAAGGGGCTGAGTAGTGAGGAGAGGCAGCCCCGTGATCGGGACAGTGTGACCAGTGTAGACTGTTGCACAATTTAACAATTTATTGCTAAAAATGGCTATTGCAGAGAAGGAAAATGTTCCCCTGGGGAAAAATAAATGGAGAAAAAAATAATGAGTGGACACTCCATTTTCAACAGAGTTCCACGGGCAGTACCATGACCCCCCTTTGAATACCAGGAGAACTTCCCTTCCTGGTGTTTATTGTAATTTTGCTCACACATTTTGATCCATGCTGAGGGATCTTCCCCTGGTGCTCCCAGCCTGGCTTGGGAGGGGAATATAAAGCTCCTTCTGCCTGTGTTGGCTTTAAGGGCTTTTTTTCTATCCAGATTCTGTATAAAATTGCAAAATCCATGGTAACTACTAAACAACAATTGCCACACAACAATTGCCTATTATTTCATAGATCTGCTCTCGTTACAGCAGCTAGGCTTATTTATATCAAAAAAAGAAAACCATTCAAGATAATTCCATAAGCCCTTCTTGAAATTATGTTTTCTGCAGGTCAGAAATATTCTGTATTTTCCCCCCATCTATTGTGCTACACTGCAAGTACAATAGGAGTGCTCTTTGGTCACTCAAATTCTACAGTTCATTCGCCAGTACTTACAGTAGATTGATGAATTACATTATTTTTGCAGCAGATGTGCTTTCACAAATGTGTTTCTGCTTTGTTAGGGAGGAAAAGAGATGGATGAAGCCTTGGATCTCCTGTCTGATTCCCTGGGACAGAGGGAACCTGACCCTGATGAGAACAAACCAGTTGTGGATAAAGTGAAGGTAACAAAAGGCGTTCCGAAACTCAAGCGATTTGGAAAGAAGGAAGGATGGGAGGGAATAAACCAAACCAACAAATAAAAAAACCTCCAAACCCCCCAGAATCTGCAATGGTCCCCATATGCTCACAGGAATATATGGCATTGGAATTTTAAGAGTAAGAGTAAGGTAATTGGAGATAAAAAATCCATGCTCTTAGGTATATCAACCACTTTTCAGTCTTCTGGATTACCTGTGTGTTCTGTGAAAGATGATGATTTGGTTAATATAGTTCAGCGACTTGAGGGCAAGTGTTGAAATGTTACGGGAGATTTGAAATAATTTTAGTTCAGTGCTTTTCATTGCCATTATTATCAATTTTCAGGTGCCTTCTCGGGCCGCAGTTTCTAAAATTGATTTTCTGGCCCTCTTTTTGTCAAGCTTTGACTTTTATAACCACAAGTTCACTTAATCAGGCACATTTTTAAACTTCCTTGTTTCTGCTGGTTTTGTCTTCATTTCGTCTTTCATAAAATCCTACAAAGGCCCTTCTGCTAACAAGAAAATAAATTTCTGCATCATAGTAGTAATAGTAGTAATAAATTGTAATTTGAAATAGCAAAGGTACAGTACGTTACTGGGGAAAATCAAAATGACCGTATGCTGCCTATCAATAAGTTTAGGCTGGAATCTTAGCTGGAGAAAAAAGAAAAAAGAGATCCCTAAAATGTCTGCATTAAGAAAGACAAAAATGTTCTTCAGCAGTCTGCTTAAAAACCTTCCTGTGGTGTTCTGTGTGGCATCTTCCTGGTCTGCTGCCAAAAATCAGAGCAGCACAAGTTGAAAAATAAATGTAATTTTAAAAACTTTCAGGCGTGAAGCATGTTTCATAGTGAAATGAATACATGGGGGTTTTCTCAGTAGTTATAAATTTTTAAAGTGAAAAAGCATATCTGCCCTGAGTCTGATATGCTCTCTGACTCGTTGATTGCTAATATTTCTAACCTGGGTAATAAAGTTTTTTTTTTTAATTGATTACTTTCAGGAAAAGGCTAAATCTGAACACAGAGACAAGCTTGGAGAGAAGGATGAAACAATCCCACCTGACTATCGGAAACTTCTGGAGTCAGGTGAGCAGGTAAGGAAAAACTTCCCTAGTTTTTATTTGCAACAGTGGAAATTGAGTCTGTCTGAGCCAGTTTGTCCTCTTTGGGACTACAAGTGGAATAAGTGAGTGTCTGTACTGAATTATGGTAAAAAACATGGGAATATCCTTCAGTGAGAGTACCTCTATCCTCACATGCTTGTAAGTAAAAAAAAAACAAAAGGGAAAAAAAAAAGAAGTTTTGATCTTGTTTTGTTGGGTTTTTTTCTTTTTCAACTGGGCAGTCTGAACAAATAAATCACTTTGAACTACTAAAGAAATCCATTCAGAATGGTGCAGGTTCATTGACAATCTCTTAACAACACCCAGTAGTGCCATATGTAAATACTTGTATTTTAAAACTAATCTGTCTGGTTCAAAATGAGTGAGGATCTGCTTTTTTTTTCTTCCCAAGAGTAAACCAGCAAAGCCAACAGCAAAGGATGATGTGAAACACAAAGGAAAGAAGGTAATATTTATGATGGGGTTTATTGAGGGGGTTTTTTTATATTTATGATATTTATTCTCTGGTTTTTTTCATGCTGTGGGCTCTGATTTTGTTTCAAAATTGTGTCACTGTAGGCTTAAGGGGTGATTAATTGCAAATACTCATAAATGAAGGCAGTAACAGGAACAGTAGTGGACAGTAAAACTTCTTTGAGGAGTAACTCTTCACAAGAAATGTTTTTATGTACAACTGCATTATGAATGTTCAGGAAATCATGCCTCTTGGGAACCTCAAATAGATGTCTCTAACACGTGTGTGGAGTTCAGGTGTGCTTTTCTTCAACAAAAGGGATAATTAATTAAAGCAGACATTAGTTCCTGAACCACTAATTTGACTCTGGGAAGCTGGGTTGCACATTTTGTGACTTCAAAATTAAAATTATTGCAGAAACCTACGGATGACAGTGCAGCTATTGATGCCTTATCAGGTGACTTTGATACTTGTGCAAAGGCTCCTGCTACACCCCAGCACTCAAAGGTAGGACATTTTCTGCTAATAACTTGCAAAATAAACAGCTTTTCACTCCTTGCAGTAGCTCATTTTAGGTTTACAGGAAGCCTGGTCAGATGCAAGGATTGTCTCACTTCTGCAGTGGGAGTTGGATGTACTTTGCTGTGTACTAAATATTGTTGGATGTATTTCTGTGTTCTAAATATTTGGAAGAAGGACTGTTTGTGATAATTAGAGCCTTTCAGACAGGCTTGGAGGAGTAAGTTGAGCAGAGAAATGTGGTAACAGTTTTTAAGAGTGTTCATAAACTGCAGAGGGGCAGAGAAAGCTTTGCTCAATGATAGCAGGCACCCTCTAGCAATGGTTGGGAGACAGCCCAAGGGGGTTTTGCAGGGAGAAAAAGCAGGGAGCAGGAAAGACTTTCAGAAGTGTTAGGGAAAACAGTAGGGTTGACAGGAAGAAAGGAGAAGGAATGGACTGGAGAGGCCCTGCAACTGAGAAAAGGAGCAGCAGCTTTGAAATCAGCTGAATTCCTGGGAGGAAAGAGCTGTTTCCAAAGAGCTCTGCTGGCCACTGCAGTGCTTCCCTCAGGCAGCTGAAGGCAGGACCACTGGTGTTTCAAGTGCTGCTTCCTCTGCTTGTGAAATCCAGGGCTAAATCTGCTGCTGCAGCATTATTGCTTGGTGACAAAGGCAAAATCTGCCCATCTCTACCAGGTTTTTCTGATGTAGTCTCCTGTCAGCACGGCCTGTGCTGCTGCCAGACCCATTCAAGAGATTGTGTTTTGGCAGGTGTCAAAGCAGGAGCCACCAGTGCTCTATTCTCCTTGTAACTGTAATTATTTTTTTTTCTTTGGAGTGTAGGACAAAAGTGGAAAGGAATCTACGACCACTAAACCAAGCTCAAAGGATAAAGGAAAGCCCAGAGACCCTAAAACGGTACAGACACATTTATGGAAGTATGGGCAGTCATACAAGAGGGGCAGAGGGGCAGCTGGATTTTGGACTCATGTTACAGGGTTGTTATTTTGGGGGAAGTTTTTCATCAATATGTTGAATTTGATCCGTTTTTGTAAACATGCACATAGGAGAAAGGCCCCTTTCTACTTCAAGGGAAATTGGCAATAAACAGGGGCAAAAATATATATATATATATTTCAGACAGAGTATTGTCCTCTGAGGGGGTTGCTCAGTGGTTCACAGGCTTCTCCTTCCCAGATTTGTAGATCTAAGAGTGCATATCTGTAGCTGCCTTGGGCAGGATCCCCACCCTTTCTCTCATTTCTTCACAGTTTTGAGTAACAGCATCCCAAAAGTGATTAAAAAGTACTCCAACAACCCAGCCAGGTTCCCAGGTTATTATCATAAATTATTTTTTTTTAATTAGTGAAGACCTACATACTTTCATTTAAAAAGTATGAATGAACATGGCAGGGAAAGGCAGGCAGCTGTTTTTATATTAAAAAAAAAAAAGGGAAAAAAAAAGAGGGGAGAAGGGGAAGGTAAAAAGGGTTGTTTGGCTTTTTTTATCCAGAAGTCGAGAAAATGGATTCAGGTCAGGGTGAAGCTTGTTCCATCATGTTGTTCTCACAGAGGGTATGTGCAGTAGATGCCTGAATCAGATGATTGCATCTGCTCTGGGAGTTCTACATTTCACATGTCAGTGATGGGATTTCTGATTGTTGTTATTATTAAATCATCACAGGTGCCTTTTTTTGAGACCCCAGAACTGACTGGCAGCTCTCAGTGTCTAACTGAGGGGTGTCTTTATCTCCAGGGAGATGTTCTGAGCTGTGGCCTGATCACTGGTGTGGGTAAAAGGGTGTTTAGGAACAGGGAGTGACACGGTCAGACACAACCCACTCTGTCTGAAAGAAAGCAGTTGATGGTGAAAAGGTGAAAATATCTGTAGACAGCAAGAGTCACCAATACTCTTGCTAAACTATCTGTATTTCAGGTGCAGTTTGTATTTATGTCTGAGCTGTGAGTCTGCTAAAGCCTGATTTCAGGTTTTAGCTTGGTTCAGTTTCTGATTGTCTCATCCTCTCCCCAGGCAAAGGGACAGTCCTCCAGCAGCAAATCTGAGAAGCAGAAAACAAGCTAAACGTTAACCTAGCCAGGTGAGATTTTTTCTTCCCTGCTCCCTGGGCTACCACAAAGACAATTTCATGCTCGTGAATTAAAGCTGAGTTTTGCTAGCAGTCCTTGAAACAAACCAAGACGTGGTTAAAACTACTACGAAATCAAAATGCTTGGGATGACTTTGCACTTCAGGGTTCCCAGGCAGGAAAGGTTTTTCACACCCTTTATCCATTCAGTTTGTACAGAACTGCTTCATGCAGCTAAACTCGTTTAGACTGGAATTCCAAGCATTCCAAGGTGTACCATGCTGCTTCCCTAAGACATTTTCACAGAGTAATGAGGATCAAGCACATCTCAGCTGGGGGCTTTGATCTTTAGGATATTGACCTTGTGTCATTACCTCTGCTCTGGCGGCTTAGTTCCCATAATTCTTCCCAGATTTACAGTGTGAGTTTTATTTCCAATTGACAGAAGATGAGCACTCTGACTTTATATTTTTTTTGTTTTGTTTTGTTTTCTCCCCCCACCAGGATCCTGCTGCATCGTGTAAAATGTCTTCTTTCTGTGGGTGGATGATTATTCCTGAAGAACAAAAGCTGATGGCAAAAGCACATAGTTATTCTGGGTGGTTTTTGTACAGTGATACTTGCTGGACTTTTCCTCATCTTTTCTTTTTTTCCCAGTAGTAGACTCAGGTTTGTTTCTTTCCCCCAGCAATTCAGTTTATTAAGTCTCGCACAGTTGTAATTTCCTTCAGCATTCAGGGGGAAAGAATGCTTTCTATTTGCAGGAAATATATTGCATCAATGAAGAGCTATGCCAAAAAAAAAAAAAAAAAAAAAAGAAAGAGAAAAAAAATCTGCAGACTTTTGCACATAATCTTCACATAGTGCCTGTAAATCTCTGAAGAGTTCATATGTGCTGGCATTTTTTAACGTTGCAGTGGATGCATTAAGTATTCTGGAACATAGTGAGCTTTAGTTACCCTCAGCTGGGCTGTGCAGCTTTCTGCTCAGGCCAGCTCCTTGTGGGAAGCTGCAGGCCAGCTGTGGGTGGCTAAAGAGTGAGAAATTGGGGATTAGCTGCTTCTTCCAGCACGTCTGGACATCAAGCAGGTATTTGGGATGCTGCCTTTAGCAGTAGTTAAAACACACTAGGGCAGGACTTCTTTTTTTTTTTTTCTCCTAATTATTATTATTACCATTATTTCCAATCATATCTGTACTGTTATCTCATAATTTCAGGAGTCTCCTGGACTGGACAAATCACAGATGTAACACAGAGGGTGGGGAAGGAAAGGAGGGGCGCGAGCCCCAGCAGCGATCAAAGCTCAGCTCCAGGGTCGGGCTCCTTTTTACCTTATTTTGCACTGTTTTCCAGTCCTCCTGTTCCTGGCACTCCATCAAGGAATGCAGGGATGGGGCTGAAGGTGTTTGCTGCAGGGAGCAAAGCCCCGCTCCTGCCGTTCCCTGCGAGGACAGGCACGGCCAGGCGCCTCTCATGGGCCGGCTGCCACCACCTCCGTGGGCTTTCCTGCGCCTCCCTGCCCTGTAGAACGCCCTTGTGCTCATCCTGACTCCTGCACAGCCCTGCCCGGGCTGGCAGGGAGAGGCCCCTGGCAGCACAGCCCGGGCTCTGTGGCAGGGACGGCTCAGGCACTCAAGTTGGGGATATTCAGACTTGTGACTGTACTTGCAGTCTGCACCGTGCCGCTCCAATAAAGTTTTTAAGGATGCGCTGTGCCCTTCCTGGCTTTTCATTCATCACCGCTGCTCTCAGGCAGGAGAAAGCCTAAAAATAATTAGAGAACCTCACAAACACTGGCATATTAAGATTGAATCTAAGGTTTCAAAAAGACCCCTATTCAAAAAATACAGAATTGCAGAATCAGCTAGATTGGGAAAGACCTTTGAGATCATGAGGTCCAAGCTATGACTGAACACCAGCTCGTCAACCACACCATGGCACTTGGTGCCACATCCAGCCTTTTCTTAAACACCTCCCTGGACAGCCCCTTCCACTGCCCAATCCATCTTTCTTTACGTTTTGGTGACACTTTCCATGTTGGTGATTCCAGGAAGACCTTCACAAGATCATTATGACCCTGCTACTTTTTTTTTTTTTTTTTGCCCCTTTTCCTTTGTATTTCAAAGCTGCATCATATCTGACCAAGAGCAGATCTAATTTTTTAACTGCTGCTGTGCTGGGAGGCAGCTGGAAGAGCAAGATGCAATTCACTGAAATTGTTTGTGCCCAGGTAAATTGACATGTCCTGAAATACCTGTGTGTGAATTCCCATCTCTTATGTAGGAGGGCTGCAGTGCACATCCAAAATGAAAAGGTGGGGAGGGAGTTCCGGGGGTACCGGGAAGGCCGCCTAATTTTTCCCTCAGAACTGAGAAGTTAAAAGCAGAAAGCAGAAATGCCATTTACTGCTCACATAAGAAATGAATGCATAAAAGGGGACCAAAAAAAGACCTTGCAGAAAAATCACCTGCAATTTGAGTTTTTGTCAAATTCTCCATTAGGCTCTTAAGATGTTTTAGAAGCAGCAGTTGACAATGCTTGAATAGCACAAAATGTCACTGGTGTGACGCAGAGCTTTCTCAGAATTCCTGATTTATACATAAAGATATGTATTATTTAAAAATACATGGAATTTGGCGTGAGCAGGAGGAAGTGGTGGCTTCTGCAGGGTTTTGTCAGAGCTGCTGGCTCTCAGCAGTGCAACAGGGAGCCTTCCAGACTCCCAGGGAGTGGGTCTGGACTCCTTGGGCAGGCTTGATCTCCAGGTGGGAGAAAAGGGAGGCATAGTCAAGACAAATGCTTGGGATTAACTCTAGATTATGATTTTTTTTTTCCCCTCTTTCAGTCTTTACCTCTGTTAAAATTCCAGCTGTCTGGGGACATCCATGAGGAAGCTGACAGAGACTGGAAAAACACAGGAAATAATAAACACCAGGGACTCAATGTCAAGGGCGCATTTGCAAGAGCAAAGAAATCAAGTGCCCTCAAGCACAAGTGCCAATTAACAAATTTGAGTTAAGTTTAATACAAAAATAAGAATTTTCAGCAGGTAAATGGAGCAAGTGAGCCTTGAAAAACAGAAACTCCACCAATAAAAACCTCCAAGGTTTCAGCCTTGCTTTCTTGGGACTGGATGTGGCACTGGCTGTCAGGGGTGGGTAAAAGGCTGCATTCCATGGCCCTGCCGGTGACACACGAGAGCCACCAGGGCTGCCCGAGCGTCCCCTCCAGTGACACGCTCCGGCCACGCCCCTTTTCCCCACTGGCCCCGCCTCCCTTGTGACCACGCCCCCTTTCCCTCATCGAAATCGCCTCCCTCGGCTGCGGCTCCGCCCCCAAGCGCTCCGCGCACCTCCCATTGGCCGGCGGCGCCGCCTCGCGCCCGCCGCGGCTTCCCATTGGCTGCGGGTGCCGCTGTTGTTGTTATTGCTGTTACTGCCGTAAACAGGAGCGGAGCGGTGCCACCTGTCAGCTCCGGTCAGCTCGGGCCACCTCTGGCCACCTTTGGCCACCTTTGGTCACGTTTGGTCACCTCTGGCCACCTTTGGTCACCTCTGGCCACCGCTGGTCACCTTTGGTCACCACTGGTCACCTTTGGTTAGCTCTGGTCACCTCCGGTCACCTTTGGCCACCTTTGATCACCCTTGGTCAGCTCTGGTCACCTCTGTTCAGCTCTGATCACTTCTGGCCATCTTTGGTCACCGCTGGTCACCTTTTACCGCCTCTTATCGCCTCTTACCAGCCGCCACCTCTCACCCGTCATCTCTTTTCACCTCTCGCCCTTTGTCACCTCCTTGTCCCCTGTCGCCGCTCGCTTGCCGGAGCTCGGCCCGAGCTCGCCCGGGCCATGTCCCTGCGCGGCGGCCGCGGGCTGCCCGTGTCCCCGCTGCCCTCCCCGGGCACGGCCCCGCTGCCGCCGGACGGGGCTGAGAGCCCGCACAGGTGAGGAGGTGACGGGGGAGCCGGGCTGGCTTTGCCCAGGGACACCCCGGATGGGACATGGGACACTAAAGGGCTCTTTTGGGATGCTCTCGTTCCCGGGCCACTGACCCTTCCCCGTCCGACCGCCCGCAGGTTCCGGGACACCCCGAGGAGGGGACACGGGCGGCTGTGGCACCCCCTGGCCCCGGAGCCGCTGGCCTCGGACCGTGCCCGTCCCCGGGACTGCTGGCAGCCCAGGGATGCAGGTGAGGGACGCGGCCGCTCCGCCCCACAGCCGTGCCGAGGGTGCCGCAGGGGCTCGGGGGTGTCCCGGCAGGGCTTGGCCGAGGCGGGGGCGGCGGGGCAGCTCCTGGGGGGCGTTGGGCAGGAGCCCGTGCCCGGGGCTCAGGCGGGAACCGCTCCGCTGGGGACACGCGACATTCCGTGCGGCACCGCTGCTCCCAACGGCGCTGCCACCCGCGGCTCCCGGCCCGGCCCCATCCTGCCCCGGGTTGGGACCCCATCCCCACACCCTGTGCCTTGTTCCCCGCAGGATCGCGGCCGGAGTCCCACACACAGCAGAGCCCCGCGCAGGAAGAGTGAGTGGCGCCGTCCCCGTGTCCTCCCGGGGACAGACAGACAGACAGACAGACAGTCAGACAGACATAATCACAGACAGTCAGACAGACATAAACACAGACAATCAGTCAGACAGACAGACAGACAGCCGCTGTCCCTGCCCCGCCTCTCCCGAGCAGCAGGGCCCGGTCTCAGCCCGGCTGGGGGCTGCGCGCCCGGCTGTGACCCCCAGTCTGTGTCTGGGGGGGGGGGGGGGACGCGGATGGACCCCCCGTAAATCCCATCTCTGCTCTCCCCACAGCTTCCAGAAAACCATCGCGGAGTTTGGGAGAGCCCTCAAAGAGTACGTCAGGGGGCTCAGTCCCTGCGGCAGGACATCAGTGCCAGGCTGCGCCCGTGCCCGGGCTGTGCCATTCCCAAAAGCCAGGCTGTCCTCGAACTCCGGCTGGGCCATTCCCAAAAGCCAGGCTGTCCCTGTGCCCAGGCTGTCCCCGTGTCTAGGCTGTCCCCATGTCCAGGCTGTCCCTGTCCCTGTCCCAAAAGCCAGGCTGTCCCCATGTCCAGGCTGTCCCATTCCCAAAAGCCAGGCTGCCCCCGTTCCCAGGCTGTCCCTGTCCCTGTCCCAAAATCCAGGCTGTTCCCGTGTCCCTCCTGGGGTCCCACTCAGGCCATCGATGTTCTCTCCGTGCCTGGAAGTGCTGTTGCCCCAGGTCCCTTTGGGAAGCTGTGACAGCCCTGGGGAGGCCTTACCCCACCCTGAGCACATCGGGGACAGAGGTGACAATGGCACAGGGGTGGGACACAGCGGTCGGGGACACCTGCAGTCATTCGACGCTTTTCTTTCCCGGCTATTGCAGCAGGAATCTCCTTCACCAGAGGATCAGCTCCATGCCGGTGAGTGCTGCAGGACCCTGCCGGGTGTCCGGCAGAGCCGGGGGGAGCAGGATGGAGCCAGGAGAGGGGACAGGGCCGCGCAGCACCGCTCCCCCCGCGGCTGTCCCGCAGCAGCGCCCGCTGGAAGCCAGCCCGGTGCTGAAGGACATCTCCCAGCTCCAGGTGCGCAGGGACAGAGCGCGGCAGAGCCAGCCCGAGGATGAGGTGAGGGGCGCGGTGACACCTGGGGAGGTCAGGGAGGGGACACGGGGTGCTGGAGGGGTCAGGGAGGGGACACGGGGTGCTGGAGGGGTCAGGGAGCGGACACGGGGTGCTGGAGGGGTCATGGAGGTGACACGGGGGTGCTGGGGGGGTCAGGACGGGGACACGGGGGTGCTGACGCCGCGTCCCCCCCGCTGCAGGAAGGTTTTGTCCCCAAGAAGCTGCAGAGGCTGGGCCAGCGGAGCCGCCTGGCCGCCGGCCACGGCGCTGCCAGGAGGGATCTCCTTGCCAAAAGCCCCTGCGGCGCTCCAGGGCTGCAGGTGAGAGAGGCTGGAGCGATCGGTAGGAAGCACGGATGGGCGATGATGGGAAAAGTGGCATCTGCCGCTCCAGCCTGCCCTGGAGGCGTGTCCGTGTGGGAGATGGGCGGAGCTGGGGGCTCATGGGGACACGCTGGCTACAAAGCTGCGAGGCACTGGGAAGTGGATGGACCTGGGCTACGGGATCCGTCCCTAACGGAGGGTGGGAAGCAGTTGGAATCCCCTTCAGGATCTCCTCTGCTTTTTCCCGAAGTTCTCCCAGCTGCCGCCGCCCCAGAGCATGGAGAAGCCGCTGACCACGCCGGTGATGAAGGAGGAGGAGGCAAAGCTGGTACGTGGCCACCTTTGGCAGTGGATGGAGCTCCACAGTCCCCTCCTGGGGGCTCCCAAGGGGGGTCCCTGGGCTGGGGGCAGCTCGGTGAGCAGCCCCAGCCCTGGAGCTTGCCAGACCCCAGGCAGCAGCGCGGGCTCTCCCCACAGCGCCCGGGCAAGCGCGGCCAGGGCCGGCCGCTCTTCCTCTCGCCCTCGGTGGCCCGCAGTGTCGCCGGGCCCCTCCCGAAGCGGGGACTCCCCTGGGACAGGGACAGCCCTGCCAATGCCCAGCGGCAGAGCAGGGCGGCCGGCAGCCCTGAGCAGGAGGCGTCGCTGGAGCCGGTGAGTGATGGGGAAGGTGTGGGGGCAGAGTCAGCGTGTCCCCGACAGCACTGGGACACTGTGCCAGAGCCCCTGGTGACATCTGGGGCTGTCTCTGGTCGGTGCCTCCGCAGGGAGAGCGGCTGGAGCCCTGCGGGTCTGCCCAGCTCCAGGAGATCGAGAACCTGCTGTCCAGTGATGACCAGGAGCTCATTGGGGACTTCTCCAAGGTAGGGCCAGCAGGATGGGGCAGCTCTGGGGGCGCTGCAGGGGCCATCATCAAAGCAGAGACCATAATCGGAGCCCCGCAGTGCCGCCACAGAGAGCTCAAAGCCAGCTGGTGGCCCTTGCTTGGGGACACGGGGCCCTGGGGCTGTGACCTTGCACGGGGTGAAGAGCCCCCTCGCTGCTCCTCTACTCCGTGCCACAGGCACGTTTGTCTGTCCCTTCCCCTCCCGGGGCTGCAGAACCGGCCACGGGCTGCTCCTGGGCTGGGGGGACAGAGCTGAGCCCAGGCTGTGTCTCCTCCAGCCTCACCTCCTGCCCACGGTGGAGGGCAAGGACCCGGGCCTGAAGTACATCTCCCCTGGCACGGTAAGAGGACGGCGACCCTTCCGCAGCCCCCGAGGGGCCGCCTGCCCGTCCCCAGCCCCGTGTGTCCCCTCTTTGTGACCCGGTCCCTCTGCAGCTGGCGGCGGTGCTGTCGGGACACTACAGCAGCTTCATCGGGAGCGGCGTCGTCGTGGATTGCCGGTACCCCTACGAGTACGAGGGCGGCCACATCACGGTGAGAACCAACCACCCCCGTGGCCCCGGGGCTGGGAGGAAAGGGGAGTGTCCGACCTCCAAGCAGCCCCAGAGGCGCTGAGCCCATCCCGGAGACAACAGGGATTCAGGATGCCCCGGGATCTGTTGGGTACCCCCCGAGAGATTAAGCAGCTCCTGCAAAGATGCTGAGCTCCCAAAGAGGAGTGAAGCAGCCCCCCCCAAAGATGCTGAGCTCCCAAAGAGGAGTGAAGCAGCCCCCCCAAAGATGCTGAGCTCCCAAAGAGGAGTGAAGCAGCCCCCCCAGAGCCCCTTTGGGGGTTGAGAAGCCCCCCATGAAGGGTCCCGAGGCACCCAGAGGAATGGGGCAGCCCCTGAAAAGCACCAAGCTGCCCCACAAAGGGTTGATTCCCAAGTGGAAAGAGGAGC